AAAAGGGAGTGATGACTGAGATGACGTATGATAGAATTATGTGGAGGACAAAAACCTGTTGCGCCGACCCTACGGGAGTAGGATAAGGAGAAAAATGATGATGAAGTGAAAATATCGATACATGTAACTCCAACTCTCGTGGTTCTCAAGTAACTACTAATAACTAATTTTATCCCAGGTTATCTGTTATATTTTGTTGACTAAACATATTTAATGTCAAATAATATTACTACTTTTATATAATAATGTTTTTATTTTTCTGGTAACCATTTTCATGTCTCGAAATTTTTAAGAAAAGTTGTGAGTTTTGTTACTTTTACATTTGATATTTATGTTTCTAAAAAAAAATACTTAAAAATTGCAAACTTCTGCACACATGATAATTACCTACGATACCTTTTTCAATAACTTCTAGTTTAGTCAGATGTTTAATGATTACTTAAAGCGCCTTTTACTTTAGATTTATTTCACAATCTACACTAAGAGCCTCCATTAAATGATTGAATGTGTCAGTTAAAGTTCTAAGCGTTTTACACATTGTAGTTTTTACTATATGTAAGGTAATCTAATTTGTACAGACTACGTTACACAATACAACACTGTCGATACGTTAAGTTGTAATTTAATTTGTCGGTATCTACGGGCAACGCCTTCTCATTCCGTAGGAATTTACTTTTTTATACAATCTATAAACAGAACATCTGCTTTATACTATAACGGTGCGAAGTACCAAACCATACGAGTTTTAATTATGCTTCTTGTAACCGATACCATTAACAGGCTGAGGTAAAATTGTAATGTATTATTTTAGAATATAATGTCATGTATTAATATATATTATGTTACATTTAAATAATTCACCTATTATTGCGTAAAAATCTATGCTGCTTCTCCCTACACTACATAGTTGATCCTTCGAGCAGGATAGTTTAAATTTTAGACACCAACAAGTTTTAAATTGTATGTTTTATTATCGTCATGAGTTTTAATCTTTCGCAACAGCGTCTAGTCTCGATTTTAATCCTGAAATTCATTCAAGTACAATCTCGAAGCCAGACATTTCTCTCGATACTGCGCTTTACAATGGTTTCGTTTTTTTTTAATCTATCACTTGTCGATTTCGTTTCAAACTTGTTCTTAATTATTAAAGAAAAGAATTCTCGTCTGTGCTCTATGACTAATTCACGTTAGCAGGAACGACGGTACTTAAATATCTCCGGTCTAGACGTAAGGGGAGGTATCCCGTGATCTACTGTGAATAATTACACTACATACTGACTAATGACGACACGAAACTAATTACACGTGATGTTTATAGGATAAAAAAACATTGAAATACACTCAGCATCACAAAAATCGCACCTCTCTCAGTTTGCGCGAAAAATGGCTGTAATGGCTAGACACGAATTATACTTAAGTAAATATTGCTATGTTTGAAATGGGTATTTGAATAGCTTTACATTATTAATAAAAAAATCATGAATTCATTAAAACATTTATCATTATAAACCGACAAAAATAAACACTGTCAAATGCAAAAAGGGTATAAAAGGGTCGATCCGGACGAATTAAAATTAGTTTTCAGTAAGAATATTAAAGCTAGTTCAAGATGTAATAGGAAAATAATCAGTTCCAATGACGAACTTTAAATTATTCACTAGCCGAATTTAAAGCAGTCTATGAAACTCAAAGTAGTTTTTTTTAAACATAATTTGCATATAATTTGCTAGAGAAGGTAAGGAGTAAATGGTTAGCATGGTATGGGCATGTTATGAGGAAGGATGAATCGCATGTAACAAGGTGAACGTTAGTTATGAGGGTGGAGGTACACTGGCAGAGGTAGACCTAGAAAGAGATGTATGGATTGCGTGGTTCCCATGATCAAGAAGGGAGTGGTCTGAAATGACGTATGATAGAGTTATGTGGAGGGCAAAAACCGGTTGCGCCAACTCTGCGGGAGTAGGATAAGGAGGAAGTTGATGATTACATCTAGAGTAACACCATAAACAAAACTTTTTAATACAAACGAAAATATTTAACCGTTTGTTTTTACTTGCGAAACAACCGAAACATATTGTTGTCTCTGTCGTTCAATGATTACGAGAAGGGTGGCGATATATTTTATACGAGTGTTTCAGCAGTG